TTCCTTCGCAAAAGGAGTTTTGTTGTTTGTTTTGTTATTGAGATGTAATTAACATATAACATGGCATACTTTTAAATGATGCCTTGATAAACTTACTTACTGCACTACAGTAGCACCAGCTAACACCTCTCTCACATCACATAATTTCGATTTCTCTCCTGCTGTAAGGACAACTGAGACCTCGTCTCCTCAAAGTTCACAATTCAGTACTGCCGTCTACCGGCCCCACGCTGGGCCTTAGATCTCCAGGACTTATTTATCAACTCGTAGCAAGTCTGTGCCCTTAAATAATATCTCCCTGATCCCCAGCCCCTGGTAGTCACATTCTATTCTGTTTTATTTTGCTGTTTTACAACTTCAAATCTTCTCTGGCATCTGGCAGACATGGAATTAGGTGCTCAGTAACAATCTATTGACCAATGAGAGGCTCCTTTAGCATATAATGATTTAGGGAGAAGTCTGATATGGACACGTTATAATATCCACAAAAGTTAGACCGTAAGCTCAGTTGCCACCTTATGTAAAAAAAATTAATGTAGGATGAAAGCCTCCAATTCCAGCTAAGTCTCTGAATAGTTACATACCCCGTAAAGGTTAACAATGAACCTGAAAACTTGAAAATAAATCCTACTGTGAAAGGAAGTCCTACAACAGTGAGCTCTTCACGTTTATTCTGCAAGTTCTCTGAGCCCGGTTTTGGTGGAGACCGTGGTTAACCAGTTGTCAATGGACTGAATGATACTAAGTTCTTCAAACGCCTAAGTCCTATTGCAGTTAGAAAAAGTAAAGGTGAGTCACAAAGTAATCATTAACTTAATTAGGGGCTGACAAAGAAGGACTGCTCTGATAATAATCTAAGAAACTATAAGATAGCTGTGATGTAGAGTTAAAAACAACATGAGACGAGCTTAAAGAATGCCAGAAAGAAGACAGATACACAGAAATGTTCACCATGTAATTCACTTTAACAGGTACCAGTCATTATTGCATTTCTTGTATTTCAGGACAAGGGAGATAAAAAGAAGGGTCAGCGAGCTGGGGAAAGAAGGGTTATGACATTCATTGGGTCCTTCCTTGTGTTAGATACCTTACTGGGTGATTTGTATCACTTACTTAACTCTGACAATAAACTCCATGAAGAAAGTATTTCAATCCCCATTTTACAGGTACTAAAATTAAACTTCAGAGCATAGCCGTCACATGGTTCCAAGTCTGTCTAAATTCAGGGAAATATAATCTTTATGTCAGACTTACTTTAAAGTACCTTTAAACAATTAAATATTAGAGCATTTCCTTTGGGGAATGGTTCTAGTCCAGCTGGAGTCAGACTAGTTCTCCGTGAGTCAAGACAAACCTGTAAACTGAGTACCTGTCAGGCTGGCTTCCCTTAAGAAAAGTCCTGATTGAGCAGCCAGTTGGAACTAGACAGAACCCAGGGTGATGAAATAGTCATTAGAGGTGGGGACTGAATGGGCAAAACAAGTCCAGGCGGAATGTGAGGTCCAAGGAATACAGTGTTGAATGATGCAAGCCACTCCCAAGAGAGGACCAAAATCCACAACTTAAAAGGAGAAGCTACATTAGCAGAAAAGCCCAACAACAGCTGCCAGAAAATATTTAGAGACAGATATTTTGAAAGTGGACAATAAACTATTGAGAATGAGGGATTGAATGTCACGGGCTAAACATTAGGAAAGAGTGTGTTCCTGGTGACAACACCTGCTGTCATTTTACCTGTCTCTGCCCCAGACAATTCCTGCTCTAATTCACAAATCAAGGAGAAGCATCAATCAGTAAGATCCAGCACACATGGCCTGAGGACAAAGAGGCTATTAACGGCTTCAGCAAGTTCACCATTTAGTTAGTGAAAGAAGCGGAAAGTGTAGCTGGCATCATATCCCTACAGAATACAAGGGTCAAAATAGCGATTCTTAATTCCCGATTAAACCATTTCACAGAAAAATGAGCGAAATCAGAACGAAGACGGACAAGTTAAGAAGAAAACAAGCATAATGCCAAATAAAAGTACCATTATGCACAACACTGTGCACGTTGAATTACCTAAATTTAAAATACGCAGTGAGCGAGAGGAGAGTAGTCGAAGAAGAAAGCTACTTAAATACATGGGACAGAACAGCCTTGTGAGGTAGCATTTATTTCTATGGATGACAACCAGCGAATGCCAAGCGTGGGACTTTTCTTCAAACAGTAGGATCCTGGAAATTTTTTACGTCAGTAATGTTTTCATACATTAAGTCGGACCATAAACAGTCTCACCAATGTATCCTGAAATATCTGACCTAAAAGGGTAAAAAACGACACTAGCGCAAATAATGGTCAGAGACGAAAACAGAGGGTTAGCAGGAACACCTTGTAAAGGACGGGTCTCTGAGCACCGCAGAGTCTCTGACGCTCCCCACCCTCTCTTAGGTTGCTCGTCTTCCCCGCACGACGCACACCACATCTGACACGCCATGTGCTTCACTGCTGGCTTCTTTATTTGTAAGCCCAATGGCTCTGTGGTAGAAGTGCAACTCGGGGAGGGAATTTATTTTGTTCACTCTCCAATCCCTATAGTCCAGGAAAATTCCTGGCTCAGAGTAGGCACTCAATTGTTAAATGAATGAAAAAACATATATGAAGTTGTGTTATCAACTCCAAGTTAAGCTTAAGTCAGGACTACACCTTCTGGAAAGTATTTTAGAATACCGCAAGTACAAAAGTGAGAACTAAACTATATAAAGGAACAGAAACAGAGATATGGCTGGGTATTCATGAGCACTGTCAGAGTTTAGCAGAAAAATCCAATCCATTCACTGGCTCGCTATGAGCAGAAAGGTTATGTTGCAATATCTACCTGCTTTTTTGTCACACTCAACTTTTCAACATTTGAAAGCTCTACTACCATAAAAAATGATGATGGAAAATCCATTTTGGGGTAATCTGCAAAAGCCCTCATGAAAAACTGAAATGAGTACACGTCCAATCAAGCAGTGGATGGAACTGCAATTATATCACAGAGAAGCTTGATCTATAGGTGACAAAGAGGCTAGCATTTCACCCAAAACAGAAGGAAAAAGTACACTGCCTACTCTTAATAGGAAATGCATGACCTTAGGAATGCAAAAAAGAAAGCTATTGCTTGGAACGAGTGGCCAAGTATGTGACTTTGGTTGAGTAACAGAGTGACTTAGTATTTTTGCTTATGATTCGACTCATTGGGTACACAAAGTGAAATGACTTTTAAATGAGGTGCTGTGTTTCTGTCACTAAAACTGCAGTAAAGCAGTCACAATTAGACTGGCTGTAAACATCTAGCTATGAGAAGTCATTTATTATTATTATCCAATCTAGATAAATGCATTTATATTGAAGAATAATCACTTGCCAATTTGATCAGTCACATTCCATTAGTAAATTCATGAATCAGGGCTGTGTTTATACCAGCACTGTGAATTTTAGTTATTTAAGGTAAAGTTCAGGCTCTACTCTTGGATTACAATATGCATCAGTATGTGAAAATGAGAACACGAATGAAACCTTCATAGACAACTATAAAATTCATGCCAAATGAGAAAATTAAAACCAAATGCACTTTCTGACCAGCATGTACTGCATAAACAAATTCTTATCAAATAAGCAATTAATGAAAAAAAAATCTTTTGTTCTCCCCAAAGAGCAACATCTCACAACTCCACTGATAGAGGCCGTTGGGATGGGCATGAGGATCAGGGCATGGGGCCACCTGCGCCAGGCACAGCCCATGCTGCCGGGTGGTGCGTCCAAAGCTTTGAAACTGGGCGTGTTTTTGCCAAGTCTGCTTATCCCACCCTTTCTGAAACACCTAAATCTATTCCCAGAGATGTAGAAATGGGCCAAGGTTTTTAACAGACCAAAGGGTCTGGCATGGCCTACCCCTCATCTGGCAGCAAATCTTTCCTTGATCTCTGTCCTTCAGCCACACGGGCCTTTCAGGGGTTGGAGCATGACCTGCTCTTCCTACAAGCCCCCCATGTATGCTGTTTCCTTTGTCCAAAGTGTTCTCTCTCCCATCCCCTCCCCCAGTTAAACATTAATGCAAGAATTTTCCTAGAGGCAACTCATTCCATCATCACTGTGCATTCGCATTGATTTATGAGATGTCTAGGCGAGTATCCATCTCCTGCACTAGAGAGTGAGTTCCATGAGAAAGGCACTTTTGGGGGACCCCCAGTGTATCCTAGCTCTCCATGCACCCTGGGCACATAGAGTAAGCTCTTCAGCATTTGTGAAAGAAAGGACAGAAGGACTGACTGAATGAAAAGTTTAACCTGCATTGTCAGAGTCTAGCACAGAGTGCAGCAGAGTTCAACTTTCAAGGAAACGATCCTATAGCAGACAGAAACACCCAGGAAAATCACGAAAGGGAAAAGCTAACGAGAGCACAGGTAATCGGAACCGAAGCACACTTTGCACTTACCTTCCTGAGTGTCTGGTGTCAGTACTGAGTCCTTATCGAACACTTAAATGAATAAATGTATGACTCTAAGAGGCATGAGCAGTCAGTCAAGATTTCTCTTTCTGTGTCTGCTCTTTCTGGTGCAAGTCTGCGTGTGTGTGTTTCCTAATTCTATTTAGTCTGTGGTAGCTGCTTCTTGTGCTTTTTCTCATTTTTTAAGCATTTTACCTTCCACCAGTCTCCTTCCTGTGGTGACTATTTTATTTGGTTTTCATCGTTTATTACATTAGGGATAACAATGTGTTTCAACCAGAAGTATTTGTCGCTCATAAAATCACACATTCTTCATGCCAACTCATTTCCTTATTTTTCTCCACCGTTAAAGCTTAAGAACTTTTCTTAGAAGTTTTCTCAGAATGATACGGTGTTATAATCCATGTATATATATATTCCAAAAAAATATATATATATATTGAAAGAGGGCTCAATTGGCATTGTACCACTGTCAGAAAACAGGCCAGACAGAAGAAATAAAATGGTGATGGAACTCTCTAGTACCTACCGAGACACTGCCCGTTCCACCCACGGAACCCTTCTGTGCAGGGGACGCACTGGTGAGATCCAGGAGAATTCACACACTGCTCACCCGGACAAGTGGTTGGAGTCAAACATTCATCAATGTCTGAAAAATCAAAAAACTAGGTCACGGACATTTTATCAGGATGCTAAAGCAAAACCTTACTTTTGCAATGAAAGGGAAAATGTATGTCCTATACAGTGGGAAGAACAGTAACTGTCCAGTGACACGCTGAGTCTATAAACACGCAGTGATAATGCATGGCCAGGTGCACCTTAATGGAAATGTTTATGTGTGTTCCAAGGAAGACCTTAACTCAATTCTGCAATGGCAGGGCTAAAACTCCATTCTGGGAGCTGGCATCTTCTCTGGGGCCACTGTCTTGGCATCAAACTTTTTAAGTTATATGCACCTTGCCCCCAACCCCCAAAAATAAGGGTAGGGATGAAAGGGGGGAGGCACACAGGGTGGGAAAATAGTAAGTTTCCAGTTGTTTGTATAGAAATAATATAATAATTAATAAATGATAATATAAGAATAAACTTGTTTTGCATATTCACAACTGCAAACTTACTTCTGCCCCACCCTGCGTGTCCACCCAGCTGGAGGGTGGCTCTGAAGACTCTTGGTGCTCTGGGGAAACCCTCACTTTGGCTTCCCAGGCCAAGAGCATCCTGCTTTTGAAGAATTTAATTTCATATGGTAGGAATTCCTTGGAGGTAGGAGAAAACATGAGGAGAGAATAAATTCATCACATACCTCCAAGATTTTCCAGAAAATATGGTGAAATAATCATATGGTAGTATTTTCTGGTAAAAGTATTTTCTGGTAATATACCTTCCTTTCCTCATTCACAGCTAACTAAAGTTATTGATCATTGTTCTTTTCAATGTGAGGAGAAAACAACGCCTTCAGTGTGGTTGGGACTGTGTCAGAGATAACAGCTGTAGGCATCTTTCGGAATGGTAAAACAAAATGCAGGAAGAAAGCTGAAAATAAGCGGTAACACATCAGGTGCTGGCCCTATTTGAAATAAGTATTTTTCTGGAGTTGAATTTTGAATTCAAGTGAGCAGATTTAATGCTTGAGGGTTCCAATATAAAAGCATATAAGCCCTCTAATCATACTTCCAATATAAACAGATATTTCAGAATATATACTGAAAAGTGAAAGAAATATATCATGGATACACAGAACAGACATGGGTGTTTGATGTCTTCACTATGGTAAGTTCTCAAAAGTCACATCCCATTATATACCCCAGATGTGTGTAAAAAAATGTTTAAGTAAAAAAGTTGAAGAGGATATTAACAGAATAAACACCAGGTCAATGTTGTAATTATTTTTCCTATCAGCGAAAAATTCTTGCCAATAGACAATGACACACAGTGATTTTTTTTTTTTAGGTCAGATGTCCTGGGACTTCTTGTTCTACAAAAAGATGATGCTTGCCAGTTTCACTTTCCAAACAGTATTACATTATTCTCTGGATGGGATTTTTTTTAATAGAACTACAACTGCGAAGTCAGAGAAGGTCACTCGGAGAGGCTGGTCGGAGAAACAAGGCTGAGCCATACCAGATAACCTCCCTGAATTCCTGCTGCGCTCACCTCAGCTTCTTCCTTCATGTGTAAATTAGGGAGTACCTGACTGGTAATATTTTAACAGAATAAAGGAAGGATGCATGAGATAATGTCTGTAAACTACAATAGGCTCCTTGGGGACTGGCGCAGTTTGAAAGCAACTGTGTTAGTGACAGCTGAGAAAATCTTCGGTGAGCCAGGAGCCCGAGTACCTTTGGTTCTGGTCCACGACGAAATTAGAAAATAGCCATGTCATTTGGCTCCTTCTTCCTCTCAGGCCTTTTCATGGGGCTAGAATTATATATTATTTACTGAGGGAACTCTGGTAATAGTTCCGTTGAACAATTTGCATACATTGAATATTACTGAATAGTCTCCTGTTTTCCATTTATTTACATAATTTTCAAATTTCTTTTCTACTCCTTTCTACTTCCCATGCTTATGTTATAGTTATTACTTCAATGTCTTATCTTCCCATTCTGAGACTGTATGTAGAACTTAAGGATCAGGATTTGACCTCTGTGGGGAGTGTTGCTTTGTACCTAGATGCTTATCGAATAAACCCACATCCCCCACAATTATAGCTGTATGGAGAAGATCTACACAAAAAGGAAAGAAGTCAGGGAAGGGGGAGGGTTAAGAATCTAACACTTCTTCAGAGCTAATAAGGTCTGAAGAGCTATCAGGCACTATACAAGACAGTGCAACACACCTTTACACTTTCACAACCCTGAGGAAGGTTACCTTCATGGTTGCCATTTTACAGATGAAGAAAGACTGTGACTTTCAAAGGGGCTAAGTAACTGCAGCCCAGGCAATTATTAAATGGGGGTCACCAGCTGGACCCTGGCTCCTCCTCTCTCCTGTTGCCATGCCACCCATCCTGGTCAGAGGGAGAGTCCCAGGAAGTGGGAGAGCGAGGACACTTCACACCTGCACTCAACCGCATCCCTGCCCCTTGGCTGTCTGGGGAGAGTCCACAGCTCTGTTCCGATCCGAGCTGACCAGAGATCCATTGACATACGCCATTCCTACTTCTCTCTCCATTAGAATGAAAGGGGCCAGGGCAAGCGGCCAGCAGGAGGCAGGTGCAGGCTGCCAAAATGTGTCTAATTAGCTCTCCCTCCAGGCCTGGGTCATTAGAACTGGGAAGAAAACCAAGGAGCAGAAGCCAAGGGACATGAGAGCAGCCTGTCCCTACTTATCCATCCCTCTCTCGCTTTCTGAGGCCCAGCTGTGCTAAAAAAGAGGCTGATGCTCAGGTACCAGGCAGGGGACCCCCTAGAACCAGCACCATCCCCACATCCAGGCTCCTTGAACACTTGCTCAGGTACCCCTGTGCCTTTGCCCTCGTGTTTCCATGTCAGAATTTCAGCACAAGTTCAAGGTAATTTTCTTTTCTTGTCATGACTTTGTCTGGTTTTGGTATCAGGCTTATGCTAATTCCTTCATGAAAAAAATTAAAAGGAAAGTAATCACTGTGGTTTCAAAAGAACCTATGTGTAATTTAGACTCAAACATGAACATGTTAAGTGGCCCATCCTGTTGACCATGCTGTAGAAAGTTTTCAAAACATTTTTATAAGGAGAGCAAACTCACTGCTGTGGTCACTAATACAGAACTTTTTATCTAGCACAGTTAGAACTTGACCTGGAGATGGTCAGACAGAGTTTCAGTGGAGAGTCTGCAAGCAAGTCCCAAAACATGTGTGCAAGAAGCAAGTTGAGACAAAGGAAGGTACCAAGGTGAAAGGTCAAAAACACACACACAAAAAAACAGTGGTGGTTACACCTGCACCACATCCTCAGATGAAAGATCCAGACACTGTAATTAAGTCTGGGCTTGTCCTAACTCTGTGCGTAATTGTTCTAATGTGACTTCACCTGAAACGCCCGGGAAGGAAGATCCTGAAGTGCCTAAGAAAGAGCATTAAGACAGAAAACAATCCAGACTGAACCACTGAAATGAGACAAAGAGGCTGCAACTCCAGAAGGCGGGAAGAGCTTAGACGAGCTGACAAGCTGACGGCAGGCACAGACTGGTGGGAGGCAACACCAGGCCAGGGCCCCATTGGCCCCAGGTCCTCGGCCCAGCCCTGCATTTCCAGGTCAGGTGTGCTCAGCACTTAGAGGTGGGTACAGTCTGCCCGCTCTCTCAGTAGACTCACCCTCACAGTGTCCCCCTGGGGTCATGCGGTACCCGCTGTCGCAGTATTTGCACTGGAACGCCCCCACGGTGTTGATGCAGTGACCTTCCCCACACACGTCCGGCCGCAGGCACTCATCAACATCTACACAAAGCAGGGAAGATTGTTTAGTGTTACTTCCCAAAACAGAATTTCAAACCTCTCCCATCTCCCAGTGTAGTTCGAGTTTAAGAATCAAGTACCCGATTCCTACTACAGCCTGGTTCAAAATGGGGTGTTTTTTATTTCTGTGGGATCCGAAAGAAACCTCTGGTCTTTGCACACACTTGACACTCTTTTTACTTAAAAGTGTTGAACTAATATTCTACTGACTTTGTATAATGCTGGGTGCATACTAGACTTATTGGGGGAATCACTTTGCAAGTTATATAGGGTCTGGCACAAATAATGCCCCTATTTTATTTTATTACAAAATCATAAGCATATAATTCTGTAACATAACAATATCACACTCAAGTGCACCATATGACATTTTAGGTGAAATGTTCAAATTGCTGTCCATCTCATGTGTGACATTCATGTGTCCTACCAACCACACTCAATGACATTCATTATTTCTGCCAGGCCCTGACTATAGTCTAACAACTCTGCTGTATACCTGAAACTAACATAATATTAAATGTCAACTGTACCTAGAAAAAAAATGTTTTAAATGCAAAAACAAGTGTTGGAGAAAAAATTCTGTTTCTATGTCTTTCAGTTATCTAGCAAATTACATAGTCATAGCAAGTGTTTAATGAAAATTCTGTGTTGTCCGAATGAGCACTCAACTGATGGGACCTCAGGGAAGGTCAGAGCCCCAACCTGGGATGTTACGCATCAGGAAGAACACGACCATTACCTATGCAGTTGGTACCCTCCTCGCTGGCCATAAATCCGGCGGGGCAAATACACAGGAAACTTCCCTCCGTGTTTTCACAGCGCCCTTGGGAGCAGAGGTGCTGGGCCTGCGTGCATTCGTCAATGTCTGTTAAGAAAATTACGGATAAAGGGATTAGTGTGTTGTAGCATGAAATTCTCAGTCTCCGGGTTCATGAAATACGAGAGGGTTCCCTGCGTCCCGCAAACCTTCCTAGCTGAGGACCAGGAGACATGATTGTTCCTCCAACACTCAGAAGGCTGTTACTGGGAAGAGGGGATGCACCTGGTGGATTGCTTCCAAAGCTAAAGCTACAACCATGACATTGGTGTTTCAAAGACGCAGATTCCAGGTCAACACAGAAGGACCTGCCTGATAACTGGAGGCATCTAAACTTTGAAATCCAGGAAGCAGCAGGAAGAGTCAGAAGTGCTGTGACAGGGACTCTCCCACTGTACACACCGGTGGAGCTAGACTAGATCATCTTGACTGTCCTTTCCACTTCATTCGTTGTGGTTCTAATAATGCAGACAGTGTATGCAAATGAAAGAGGAATCGCCATATCATCAGCAGGTATTTGCCCCCTCACCCAACCCACAGATATACAAAAACAAAGAGCAAAAGTCACAAGTCTTCCTTGATGGCATTTAGTATATGAAAATAATACTCATTAGCCATATGCCTTTGTTGCTTTTACTTGCCTTACAACCCTTAGTTTCCAAAAACTAAATTTAGTGTTAACATGTTAACATGATTTACTTAACACCATTACATCTCTTCCTGAGAAACATTTTTCCAAAGAAGCATACATTAATAACTGCCAGTATTTACTGATTTTCAAGTCAGAAATCCCTATTAGAAATTGGATTGTATGTACCTAGAGAAAGAATATAATTCTTTATTGCAGTACATATTAATATTAATTTGACTTTGCTAAATATGTTTGTAGCTAGCTATTTCTAGAACTCTTATTTTATATACTTTACCTATAAAACTTTTGGAAATCATTTCACCTTTATGTAATTGTATTACACTTGGCAAAGTAGGCAGTACTGAACCAAGAGGTAGGAGTTTCCCATGATTTTAGCAAATCTCCTTTTCAGCATCCTTATACTTAGCTCAGGGATAAAAACTTTAAAATATGAAGCCCTGCCTGGCGTAGCTCAGTGGATTGAGTGCGGGCTGCAAACCAAAGTGTTGCAGGTTCGATTCCCAGTCAGGGTACCTGCCTGGGTTGCAGGCCATGACCCCCAGCAACCGCACATTGATGTTTCTCTCTCTCTTTCTCCCTCCCTTCCCTCTCTAAAAATAAATAAATAAAATCTTTAAAAAAAAGTTTAAAATATGAAGCACAGTAATATCTCCCCATGATAATTGCAGAAAAAAAGTTACTATTTAATAATTTCAATGATGAGAAGTGTCTCTTACCAACACATTTCCTCTGTCGCTCGCTGAACTTGTAGCCCTCGTAGCATATACAGGTGTACCTCACCGGCAGGTTAATGCAGTGTCCTGCTCCACAGATGTCAGGGTTCACAGTACACTCATTGATTTCTTTAAAAATAAATAAATGTGGGGGAAGAAAACAAATATAAACGTAAAGATTTCATTGCTACCTGTAAACCATTCCTTTGCGTTCCCTGATTAGCTTACTGCCAGGCATGAAATTAAAAAGCGACCACCTCCAAAATCAAGTATAAATTCACTTGTCTACTTTATAATTGTTCCAGTAGGCCCTCCCAAGGTCATCAACAGTTCCTAATGAAACACCTTCCAGGATGAACCGGAGTGGGTGGAAACTCAGGAAAGAGGCCATGTGGGAAGTTGTAAGAGAATCAGTTCTTCCTAACTCCTAAGATGGCCTATATCAATGAGTTTCTATCCACCCAGATTTATCTTAGATGGTGGACACTGAATCATCACGTGATTTGTTCTGATACGAAATATATGGTGAATTTGCATTTGTTAGCAGGCCAAGTTCAATCTCCAACAACTATGTCTAACCTCCAACAAAATTTCTCATTCATTCTCAAGAAAGATGTACCACTTCTAATCAAAGCAAAACTTCTGGGTATAATTTTACTCTTAATTTACCAATTTCAACACAAGCACATTTTATTTATGTTTGTAAAGCAGAACGTTCTTCCAAATCTTCTCTGATAACTCTCTCCCTTACTGTGCCATGGATTCCTGCTTGAGACTCGCTTCTTCCATAAAGCCCGAGCAGGTGAGCCCTGAGTCCTCGCTCTACCTCTAGAGGACGCTGTGACAGAGACAGGCTCGGAGGAATCCACGGTGGGTGAAGGCCAGAGAAAGGAGTTTCATTACAAAAAGGACCTGAGGACTCAAAGGTGGCCTTTTTCTGAGATGACTTACCCCCTAACATCATCTGCTTTCGGTAACCTTTCCAAGGAGGTATAATGGTGGAGTGGGGGTGGGGCAGTGGTCAGAAGTCCAGTATGGGGCCAAATCTTGCTGTTCTTTCGTAACTCTGTCACACTGGGGCCACTACTCAATAATTCTACGCTTCACTTTTCTGCGCATGTAAAATGGGAATAATCAAAGCACCAACTTCGGACTGTCAGGTTCAAAGGAGATAACTCAAATAACACATGCAGACCAATGCCTGGCACATGATACATGCTCAGAAAAGTCAGCCCTTATCATCCTATTATTGCCGTTCCAAGTGCAAGTCACTTAAGAATACACAACAAAGACGCTGCACATTTAAATGACAGCTCTTAGCTCACTGTCATCAGATAGTAAACAATGCTTAAAACACGTGCTGTTACAGAAGAGCAGAGTGGCCCAGCGTAAGAAGGTGTGGCCTCGAGCACGACAAGCTGAAGCACAGCCTCATTAGAGGGGTCTGTAATTTAAATGAGGAGAAAAGCAGGTGTGCTCCTACCAATAACCCACTCTGCAGTCTGCGGCGGAAGGATACAGCGTCTTTGCAACGACTCACTACGACAATGACCTAGGTGGGGTTGAGGTTCCTCCCTGAAACCCAACCACGTTCTTCCCATTTCATCAAGTGTTATTCACTGTGCTGTGACTTTAAGACACAAGATGCAAGTCACTTGAAAGTGACTAGAATTTAAATGAAAACATGAATACGGAGTTGCAATGTTTTACACAAAATCACTTGAAGGTAAGAGAAAACCACACATCTACTAATACAAATTATGGATATCTTCATTGAGCCTAGTTATGCTAATTCACCTGCAGAAGAATAGACTTGTTTATAAACACTGTATTTATTATACAATATAAAATTATACAAAAATAAAATAATTTAGAAAGCAAAAACCATGGGTGACTAATATGATTGCTTAGACCTAAGTGATGGGCAATTATAACAAAAATGAATTATAATACATATACAGAGTAGAGAAAAAAGTAGGTTTACAGTTGTGAGTACATGAAATGGTTTATTCTTGCATTATTAATTTTTGTATTCTTTTCCATACAAACAACTGTAAACCTACTTTTACCCCACCCTATAATAGCATAGATTATTATATAATCAATAGCAGGACAGGAAAATGTTTCTTTGTCACAAAATATAGTTGTGTACAAATTTTAATATAGATGTCATCTAAATTACAAAATACACAGAAAAGAAGATTATAAGGAAATAAATCTAGTGTCATGATTATGGGGATTGATGGATTTTTTAAAAATATTTTTGTATTTTTTCAAAATTTCTACAATGAATATGTATAATTTTATAATCAGAAAGATCTTCCTTTAAAAAATTATAATTTCTATGTGTCACAAAAATCTGAAGGTGAAAGGTAATCTTCTCCAGGTTATATCCATAGACCCTCAGGTAAGAATTCTCTTCTGTTTACAGGAATTCTTCCACAGATTAGTGTGAAAAGCACACCTCTAACCATCTAACCCATATTGTAGTTAGATGCCTTGTTTGAAAATCATTGCTATTTACATTTCTTGGTTTTCATTGTAACTACTGATCTTTCCTTATACTATTCACTGTCATTTTTTAAGGCAGGAAAGACAATGATCAGATTTGCAAAAAGATAAAGCAGCAGATAAATTAGTAACTAAGGACAAAAAACTCAGAACAAATCAAAAGCCTATAAAAATCTGGGGTTTTCATGAAATACTTGATCAGTACCCACTGCCCCATTGCCCACACATACTAATTTGTTGATTACCAAATATTTCACTTGTCAAGCATATCAGAATGGAATTTGTACATGTGTGAACAGAAATCTTCAAAAATATGTGAGGCTTAATTCACATGAGATACATTCCTATGCCACAGTTTGCCAACACATTTAACTAGTTTTCTCCATAAGTGAGCTCAATGGTATAAGAAATTCTGAAGAATTATAACTCCTTAGCCTTAGGAAATGAATACTAATGGCCTTTCCTTCCAATCTAGTATCTTGAGCAGCAGCTGTGAGGTTGAAATTATATTCATGAGGCATGTTTGAGGATCTTTAGTTGATCACCTCATAGATTAATGAGTACATCAAGATGCAGGTTGAATATGCTGGTCCCAATGGGCAGGGCACTAACACATGTAAGAATAAGTCCCTCTGACACCACTAGAGGGTACTAAGAGACACACCAAAGGAGTGAAGGGACATTTACTAAAATATACATGACTTCTACAGTTTGTCCCATTTTTCACCCAAGTCATCAGTTCACGTAACTTTTATCAGTCTGACCTGAGAGATCCCCTTCAGCCCCATGCCAGGCAGAACTCCACCCTTCCACGGAGAAAGAAGAGTCATAACACCTTCAAAACACCTCTGCCACGTTCTCTTCACTGGCTACCACAAGTTAATCATCATCATTGTTTAAGGCAGGACTAAATTCCCAGTACTTTTACCTTAAAGCCTTAAAAAAGTGCCTTCCTACCACTTCCTCCCATGCTTCCCCTCCACTTCTATGAAATTTTCATTCTCCAGCACATAGTATTTATTACACACAAGTGCGAGCCCTGACGGTACTGTCTGGATGAATGAGGAAAGCTTTCTGCTTTGCCCACGTTTTTTAGAGGAAAGGCATTATGCTTTTGAGTTTTTGAAGAGGTCACTCACACAGAGGTACGTGAACCTGTTCCCAGAGAATGGACCGGTGTGTGTTGAAACACACGTTTCTTGGATTAGCCTGTGTCGCTGTAAGCCCCTGGAAATACAGCACTGCCTCACGCAGGAAGCTCCCACTGCTGGTCTCGGTGGAACTCTAGACAGTGAGATGCCTTGCCTCCTTCAGCACATTTGGTTTCCCAGACAGATCATCAAGAGACCGCTCCCCTGGACGCCCCCGTGTGTCCTTCCTAACCCCCACCCTGTGCCCCGTGATGCTCAGCACCACCATACCCTTTCTGCCTGTGCGTGCCCCCAAGAACAACTTCAACTTCACTGGGCCAAGGACCTTACTTAGTCTTTGCTTCCCACTGGAGTCCATTTAGAATTTGGAAAAAGAGCCACAATGAAATGCCAGTGGAAAACCAAATGCTCTCTTTATCCCAGCAGCAAGGCCAAGGGTGGATTCAGGAGTTTGGTATCTCTTATATTTTCTAGAATTAAATGAAAAAGAAAGCTTTTGGCAAAATATGAAAATGAGTATGCTGACCTTTAGATTGTTTTCCCTTCATCATAGGATTGCTCAAGATAAATAAATAAATAAATAAATAAATTGAACGTGGAAAGATTAACGCATGGTGATTTTACATGAAAAAAAAAAAAGGAGTTCATTCTGCATCGTATGCATGGTTCATTGAGGCTGTAGTGACACTGGTGATAATGCTTCAGGGACATCCACCTCTATGAGAGGTCAATTATGAGTCCTGGAAAAGATCTGATGAGCAAATAGTCTTTTTTTTTTCATCTCTGGGTGATGATAACCACAAAGGTTTCTGCAAAGGCAGTCATGAAGTCAAAAAATAATTTCTGGCTGGTCGACAAGGGCCACGGAGAAAGTTTGGGAAGAGCAGGAGGAAGCGTCAGATGTTAACTCATGGAAAGGTTTACAAAATGCCCTGGCTTCCTCCCTGCCACACAATGAGCATAAGTTGTCCCACAACAATTGAAACAGATGTTTCCACTTTGCAAATATTTGCCAGAGAAATAAAGGTTTCATTTTCCAACTTATCCTTGAGCTGTTAAGACACTATGCTAAATCAAGAATTTATATGCTGAAATGTATAATTTATTTGCAAACAGCGTGCCAATGATGTTGCAAGCCACCAACTCAGCTGTTAAGAGTGGAAAATATCACACTTAGTTCCTACAAATATGTGGCTCACTTTATCATCGTTGCATGTCAAAGGGTGTCTGACAAACTCCGAAGGTCTACTTCCAATCGCACCATCGTAAAGATATCATCACTAGACTATGTGGAGCTGATTTTATTTATTTTAGACTCATTATTCTATCCCTTTCTTCAACTTATAGAAGAAACTAATAGTGACAAATAACATTAACCTCTTCTGTGTGTGGGGGGGCAGAAATCATTACATAATGTTCTTAAGAGAATTGACCATATTGCTCCCTCAATCTATGTTTGGTTCTCAT